AATTATGTTTATTTTATAAATGGAATGAGCATTTGAGTGTAATAGACATGCAACATAACATATAAATGTAAAGTGAATAAAGTCAACTGAAGAAACAAGATAGGTTTTTAAAAAGTGTAATTTAATAGCTTAATTGTGAGAAATGGAGAGCAAATAATTTTTAACATTTGACGGAAAATTTTATATTGTTTGATTCAAGAACTCTTTTGCTCCAGAAGTTTTGGAGAAATACAGAAACCAAACAATCACTTCTAAAAGAGGTACCATCTCTACTGTCCTCTTATATACATGCTCTTGCTTTGGAAATAAGGTATCTATGGTATCCGTGTTATTAAAAGTAGCAACACTGCTCATCAGTATTTCACTATCTTAAAATTTCAACATGACATTTTGCCTTTCAACCCAGAAAGATTTTTCATCATCTTTTTGTAGTTTTTATGAGGCCCACATAGGAAATGCTAAAGCATAGGTTTTGTTTTGATTGGTTCGTTTTTCACAACACATTTCACCTATTGTAAACAACCTAAATGATTTTAGGGGTATATTTAGGAAGGCTGATGGACGTGTTCATTTCCTTTTCAAGAACGCAGTGCCCTCTGGTGGCGCAAAGTAGGATAAACATAGAAGGCCTGGGTACCCCTACTTATTTCTTCCTGTGATTCTGGTAACGTTACCCTGCATTAAGACAAGCATCTAAATATTTAACAAATTGTACAGTTGTTCTTGTTGAAGTGCTTTGCAAGTGTGTTCAGAGTCTAAGTTTCCTTTTCATGTTAGTATTTGGAAGTTCAACCTAACTTAATTTTGATCTGCCAAAAACTTCGCTAAAAACATAATTTCACCCCTTACTCCCACCTCACCCCAGTATTGCTGCCAAAGATGCTCTGGAGAGACACTTTGGAGAACAGAATAAACCTTCCTCTCAAGAGATCATGCGGATGGCTGAAGAACTGAATCTTGAAAAAGAAGTAGTAAGAGTTTGGTTTTGCAACCGAAGGCAGAGAGAAAAACGTGTGAAAACAAGTCTGAATCAGAGTTTATTTTCTATTTCTAAAGAGCATCTTGAATGCAGATAAAATTTGTTACTGTGCAATCATCGTTTTTTTCCTACTTTTCATTCCTTTCCATTCCTCAACAAAAATAGACATTAGTTACTTAGTTGACTTCAAAAATAATTTTATACCAATAACTTTAGC